TGGCCCCTTCCCTGAATAATCTGGAAACTCATGTCAGTATCCCGAAGACAGACTCTTGATCTGTTCTTTCTGTGGTCACATTGCAGAGATCTCTGTTCTCTGCCCTTCATCACTACTCATCTCCTTTACTGGTGAATTGGAACAGTGACTGAATGTAGGCTTTAGGGATTCCTGGAGCTGGGGTTTTTGCTCTAAAACACCGGTAACACCAATGACTGTAAATTCACTATTCCAATAAGACTGCTCTGTTTTAGGGATTGGCTCCACATTCCCCTAGATTGTGTAATCCTTAAATAGCCCTGACAGGAAGATTTTGGTATCTCAGTTTTGAAGACGCGGAAACTGAGGCAGGGGATGCGCACCAACTTTCCATTGTCCCCTAATCAGCAGACGGCATTGCTGACAGTTGAGTTCAAGCTTTCCTGTGCTTTTGGGTACATTGCAACCTTCCCTCCACCTTTCCTTATAGCCCTGAGTTCTACTTTTAAGTATTGCTAACTTCTACAAAACTTTTCATTTCTCTCTATCAATTTCACACATCGGCTTACCCCTCTTGGCAAAAAAGAGTAAAAATTACTGGATGAAAGCATTCTTGTGAGCCAGTCATCAGTTAGGAATGGATTCTAGGAACTTTTTTTTTTCTAATTCCTTAGAAATCATTTAAAACAAATACAAACTTTGCAAAACTGATAGCCACTCCAGCTGTCAGACTGGTGCTTGTGACAGTGACATTTTAGTTGCCAGGTTTTTGCTGGCCCTGGTATCTGGGCCTTGCCTGTAATGGTGGGAAAACAAAATGGCTTTGGCCTGGTGCTTGTAGCTCATGCCTGTAACTCTAGCTACTCAGGTGGCAGAGATCAGCCTGGGCAAACAGTTTGTGAGACTCTATCTCAAAAAAAAAAAACCCATCACAAAAATGGGCTGTTGGTACAGCACTTGACTAGCAAGAGTGAGGCCCTGAGTTCAAACCCCAGTAGCAGCCAAAAAAAAAAAAAAAACAAAAACCAAAAAACCAAAAAGTGAGAAATAAAACCTGCTTTACTACACCCGGGCTACAGTCAGGCCTTTGGTCTAAGGCCAATTCTCACGGATTGGTCTTGCTGTAAGAGAAGAACTCATTTTTTTTCTTATTTCTTAAGCACTGTAGGCTGCACAAAAGGTAGGCATAAAATGAGAAGCCATTTGAGCCAGGCGTGCTGAGGTCAAGACTGCTGAGAAGAAAGAACTATCTGATTGAAACCCAAATTTCAGAAGCAATCCTTCAATCCCCTACAAGTAGGGGCAATAAAAAGGCCAAACACACATGAACCAATGACAAATTTGTAGCTAAAAATATCTGCTTCCCATTTGGTGTAATGGATCACACGTTTAATTTTAGCTACTGGGAAGGCAGGGTTCAAGGGCAGCCTGGGGAAATAGTTCCTGACACCATCATCTCCAAAATAACCAGATCACAATGAATTGGAAGAGTAATTACCTGAGTTACAAGTGTATCTCACATATAGGTTGCTGGGAAAAGGTTGTTCCACGGAGACATGACTGGCATCAGCATCTGGTATATGCTAAAATTCACTTCCAGAACAGAGGTAAGCAGAGCAAATAGTATATTGTTGAACATGTGTATTGCATTTGAAGGAGAGAATGGATTTTACCAAAATGTGAAATTGTAGGGTGGTGTTGATGTGAAGTTAGGGAACCATGACTGCAACAAGACTGAGATCACCATGAGGAAAGCTGAACCCAAGCAGTCTTGAACTGCCTCCATCTAAACTGCAGGAAAATGAAGAGAAGTTATCACAGATTGAATGGGAAAGGGGAAAAGAAGTATTGGGATGCCAGAACTCTTAGTGAGGTGTGGTGAAATGGCCGGTTCTGCTGGTTCTGCTATAATCTTTTCTGTTGGTTTTGAATCCAGCATTTCAGGGTCAATGTGAGGTTCTTAAACACCAAAGTCAGTTTATCTTTCTGTACCCACCATCATCCTTTTGAGTTCCATACTTTTAAGTAGAGAAATAAAAGAGAAATTTGTGTTGTCCACATCTCTGTAATCCCATATTTAGAAAAGCAAGTGGAAAGATAAATTTTTAATCAGATTTTTCATGGATTTTTTTTCCTATGATACTGGAAATCTTGAAGGAAAAGATGTTTGTTCGCTGCCTGATGGTTACTTTTTCTAGGAGGACTAATTCTGAGGTAGTATAGTGGGAAGTTACAAGGAAATACATGCATTACCTAACAAACTGAATTTATTTGTAATCAATTTAATTTAAAAATCACCTTAATACCTACATTACTTGCCCAGAAGTATGATTTAAGAGTGTAGGAAACATAACTGAGATTATAGAACTAATAATTTGTTTAAATTCACACTTTTCTTTTTTTTTTTGGTGGGACTGAGGTTTGAACTCAGGCATTTGCAAAGCAGGAGCCACACACCTCCAGTGCATTTTGCTCTGGTTATCTTGTCTTTTTGGTCATAATGGGGTTTGAACTCAGGCTTCACACTTTCTAGGTAGGTGCTCTGCCACTCTAGCCACCATGCCAGCCCATGTTCAGGTTACTTTGGAGATGCGTTCTTTCCAATTATTTGCCCCAGCTGACCTCAAACACTGATTGTCCTGAACTCAGCCTCACAAGTAGCTAGGATTACAGGAGTGAACCACAGACGCTTGGCTTTTGGAGGTTTTTTTTTTTTTTTAGTGTTTAATGAAGTGCTTACCATTTTAATAAGACAATGTTTATTTACATATCTTACCTTATCTGTATTAAATACAAGTGACATAGTATTTGATTGTTTAGGCCAATTGGGCCCCTTTACAAATAGGTAACTTCTTGAGGCAGTGCAGAGCTGAAGAAGAAAATTCAGTGCTGGAGGTGTGATTCAAGGTGTAGAGTGCCTGTCTACCAAACAGGAAGCCCTGAGTTCAAACTGCAGTAAGGCAAAGAATAAATAAGTAAATAAAATAATAAATGTTATATGGTAAAACCCTGGGAGGACTTAATAAATTTGGTAATCCCTGTGAGTGAACTATTTGCTAAAGGCAGGTGAAACATTCTCAGTTTAGACTTGGTTACAAAGTATTGATTTGTGTGTGTGTGTGAGGCAGGGAGGGACAGGAATTGGGATTTGTAGCATCATTTTTTTTTTTTTTGCATACAACTATATGGTGTAGTTACATTGGTGACCATTTAAGTTGTTTCTTATTCCTGAGAACCTCTGAATGTGTTGCCCATGTAATAATTTCAGTGAAATTTACTTTAGACTAGTTCACAAAGGGACACAGTTATTGTTAGATAGAATCATGCAAATAAAGACTACTTGTTAATTTTACTGAGCATTTTTCTAAAAATAGGTTTTTCTTTGTTAGCAAAGAAATCATTATAGTAAAGCAGTCAAATGTACACTATATACTTGGTAAGTAACCTCAACACAGGAAACAAAATATTTTGCTTTTCCTAGCACATTTCCTAGTATAAAGGAAGTACTATCTTAAGAAGATGACCTTTCTTTTTAACCTCTATTTTGAGTCTGATAATGTATATCTTGCACATGCCCTCAATAAGTAAATCTTTATTTATTTATTTATTATGTCTTTATTTTGGCGGCACTGGTGTTTGAACTAGGGACTCCTGCTTGCACGCTTGGGTCACTCCCTGAGTTCTAATGAGTAAATTTTCAAAAGCCAAAGCACAAAACAAGAACATCAAGAACCCACGTACCTAAATACTGACACTGTGACCAATGCTCCCCATCTGTAAAGCCTGGCTATGGCTCTGGTTGCTTGCCCACATATAGAGACAGTGACGCAATATATGTAGAGAGAATGGTAAAAAGAAATTTATTTATGGTTTTGGCCACAACTGGGGAGACAGAAATTCCTAAAGTGTCTCTGCCCTGTCCATAGCAGTGTTATAACTTAGAGAAAGGATGCAACCGAAGCAGGAGATCACACATGCAGTCAGCCTTTCTCCCGGAAGGTGAGAGAATCTTCTGGCATGAGGTGAGCCATTTTGATACCCAGCATGGTGTTTCCAGGAGGAATCCTAAATCATAGGCCCTGTTACATCTTCACCCCTCCCCTGTGTGTAGGGCCCCGGGGGTGAGGACATTAATGTACCCAGTGCCTGGAGCAGTGTGCCCTTGTTGAGATTATCAGTGGACTGCGGGGTTCTGTGAGTTTCTCTGTCCCTGAGGCAATCCCCCTGGCCGAGGCCGAAGAGACCTCCATCATGAACTGGCGTCCCCTCGACAGCAGGTGTCTGACATGAAGTAGGATTTTCAGGGCAGGGTCTCGCCTCAGTCCCCAGAGTACCAGGTGCTTGCCCAGGCCCAGCACCTGACAGTCAATACCACTGGATGATGCATTAATACAGTTGCCAATCAAAGCAGTTACTACCTAACACCACTAGGTCAGTCTCCTCTAGGTTGACCTCTTGTCCAGGGCCACAGCAGTTACATTACACATTAGTGATGGGAGGGAAAAATGAACCAGGATCAATGAGACACGTGTGACCCTTGATTCCAGGGTATGATGTACCACACATTTACAGTGGTTCTGAACTACGGGGTTCAGCTCACAGATCACATTTTGGTTAGTAAAGGATGGGAAATTAATAGTCACAGAATAACTGAAGCATCCTGGAGATATATTTGGGCTTTTCATTGAAGAGACATAAGTTTTGAGGGCTGTTAGGGTGGCTCAAGTGGTAGAGCTCCTGCCTAGCAAGTGTGAGTCCCTGAATCTAAACCCCACTACTGCCAAAAGAAAGAGTTTTATTTTGATGTAAAAAGTAATGTGCCCTATGCCTGAGGTGTAACCTGTAATCCTAGCTACTTGGGGCTGAGGTGGGGAGGATTAAGTTCAAGTCCAGCCCAGGCAAGTAGTTTTCGAAATCCCTTTCCAAAATAAAATGAATTGGAGCCAACTACTTGGCTCCACTGGCAAGTAGTTCTTGAGACTAGATCTCCAAAATACCCACAGCAAAAATGAACTGGAGATGTGGCTGAAGCAAGGGAACACTTGCTTTTAAGCCGAAAGCCTTGAGTTTAAACACCAGTTCCACCAGCTAGTACTTATGGGTGTCGCCAATCCGGTCCATGAGTCCCTCCCCGCGTTTCCTCCTCAGTGAAAACGTCACTCCAGATAACTTCCTAGAGTTGAAGTGATCAGAAGTTCTAGAAGTTCAAGTGCGGTATTAGGGACCACCTACTGCCAGGGCCCAAGTCCGTGTCGCAAGCGCAGTTCTTGCATCACCCTGTGCTGCGGGGAGCGGGTGGCCTGAGCCTGGCTGAGCGGGACGGACCCCTTGGCGATGGCCCCGTGGAGCGCGCTGGGCATGTCCTGGGCGATGGCGATGGCGCTGGCGCGGCTGCTCCTGGCGCTGTGGCTCGCCCTGGCAGCCGCAGGTAGGACCTAGGTGGGGATGGGAAAGGAAGGGAGCGCTGCTGTGGCTCTGGCAGTCGCCGGTCTGCTCCTCTGGAGTCACGCCTTAATGATGGCCGCCCCGGGGCCACAGTACAGCGGCCCGATTCGGAGCTGTGATAGGAAAATGCAGATTCATTTATGGGGTCCGCAGACTCTCATGGAAGGCTCCACATGTCTTTGGTTTTGCGCTCGGGGTGCGCGCCGGGTGCACCGGTGTTGGCGCCTAGTTGAGTTGCGCTAGGTGTTGGAGGCAGTGGGAAAACCAAGGGAAGAGTGGAAATGGCGAAGTTGGAGAAGTTCTCCTCCCGCGTGTCCGCGGGGCGCCTGGCCTTACAGGGTCTTTACCGAGGCCGGAGGGATGGCTTAAGGTCACTTTGAAAGCTCCTTTACTGTCTTTGGGACTCCGGATGTGCGCGTTCTGTCTGATCTTCAAGTGGGAAAATTTAAGGCCTAAACACATCTAAGGAGATTTAAAACTAAGTGGAAAAGAAATTAAAGCGACAATGAGATCTCACTTACTAGACTGGCCAAAACAGGCTCCGAAGTGGGCGTGAGGTGGGGGTGAGGCGGGTTGGAGTGGGGCGTCTGGGATGAGGTGGGGAAGATGTGGGGGTGGGGAGGTGGGGGTGGGAGTGGAGATGAGGTGGGGTGGGGGTGTGGGTGGGGTGCAGGAAGGTAGGGTGCAGTGGAGGCAGTTGGAGGGGATGTAGTTGAGCAAACCCTGGATGCTCACCAGACACCAGGGCAGCTGCGTCAAATGATGGACTAGCTGTAAGCACAGCAGTGTGGAAGGACCTTGGAAACACAGTGCCAAGAAAAGAACGAATGCCACGTGTGTGCCATGCATACCTGCGCACCTGCGTACGTGCGTACCAACAAAACGAGACAGTTGGTTTTTTTTCCAGTTTCGTTTCATCGCATGGGGCGGCCCAGGCCTTGACCCTGTGCTTGCGCAGAGGGCACTCTGGCTCCTTCTGCTGTGAATCTTGGTCTTCAGCTTCTCCTGCTTGCTGAACCAGCAGCGTATGGCTCCTGTCTTCTAGGGCTGCAGGTCGGCGGCTTGTACTTCTTGTCCCTGTAGAATTTCCTGAGGTTTTCTTTCTGAGTTTGGATAATGAGGGTGAGAGCTGGGATGCTGTGCCACCTGTCACTTTGGCGATGCACAACTGGGACAATTGTACCTTCAGGTAGTCAGCCATTTCAGCTGCTCCTCCTTGTCACAAAGGTCTGGAGTCTTGTTCTCAGTTGGGGTTGAACTAGCCGCAGCTGCCTCTGACTGGTTCTAGACAATGAGAGATGACACAGTTTTATCTTTTTAAAAAATTTTTGGAAGGACTGGGGTTTGAACTCAGGACTTTGCAGTTGCAAAGAAGTGCTCTAATGCTTGAGCCAAACTTTCAGTCAGAAGGCAGTTTAAAAGAGAAGAAAGGTGTAGACGTTAAACCCCTCAGAAGGCTCAGGTGTAGACGTTAAACCCCTCAGAAGACGTTAAACCCCTCAGAATAAAATGCGAATGAAAAGAGTAAGTAGCTGTGTGGTGCTTCAAGCCTGCAATCCTCTCTACTCAGAAGGTGGAGATGGGGAGTTTGCCACCCCATCTCAACCCATGGCCAGGTGGTGCATGCCCCTGTCATCCTGAGCTTTGGGGAAGCACAAATAGGAGGATCACTGTCCAGGTCTGCCCAGGCATAAAGCGAGAGCCTCTCTCAAAAAACAATCAGGGAAAAGGGCGGGGGTGTGACTCAAGTAGTACACCGCCTGCCTTGGTGAGGCCCGGAGTACAACCCTCAGTACCACTAAACAAGAAAAAAAAAAAAAGGATAAATAGTACTTCTATACGTTTACAGTGAGAAATGTGAAAATAAAATTAGGACAAATTTCTTTTATAAAAGCATCAAGGGGAATAAAATACATAAATGAATTAATAAAATATATGAGGAAATTAAGAGTATAGTGGAGGCTGGTGGTGTGCCTCATGGTGTAGGAGCTTGCTCCACATGCTTGAGATCCTGAGTTCAATCCCCAGGACTGGGCCAGGGAGGACTGGCAGAATGGCTCAAGTGGAAGAGTTCCTACCTAGCAAGCATGAAGCTGGGAGATCAAACCCCATAAAATAGATACTGGACCCAATCCTATTTTTAAGTGAGCTTATAGCCATTGTAATGCCCTGGGCAAATAGTTCACCAGAGCCTACCTTGACAAAACCCTTCACAAAAAAGGTGTAGGCCGTGAGTTCAAGCCCCGAACTGCACAAATAAAAAGAATAAAATAAAATAAAGAAGCTCTAAATCATTGAATGGAAAAATATCTTGTCTTACTTCTGTTCAGCTGCCATAACGAATGCTGTAGGTTGCAGTACTCCAACAGGAATTTCTTTCTTTCTCTCTTCCCCTTTCTTTGTCCCTGCAGAAAGACTCAGTAACACAATTTTGTTTCTACTCACTGTACATGTATATAGATATATATGATCATATATTTATCTATATATGCATTTAATTTATAGGTCTAGCTTCCGTATATGAGAGAAAACTTTTGACTTTTGATTTTTTTGAGCCCATCTTACCTCGCTTAACATGAAATTTTCATTTCCATCCACTTACCTGCAATCAACATAGCTTCATCTTCTTTGTGGCTGAATAAAACTCCATTGTGTTTATATACCATATTTTCTTTTTTTTTTCTTTTATTATTCATATGTGCATACAAGGCTTGGGTCATTTCTCCCCCTGCCACCACCCTCTCTTACCACCCACTCCGCCCCTCCCTCTCCCCCATCCCCTCAATACCCAGCAGAAACTATTTTGCCCTTATTTCTAATTTTGTTGTAGAGAGAGTATAAGCAATAATAGAAAGGAAGAAGGGTTTTTGCTGGTTGAGATAAGGATAGCTATACAGGGAGTTGACTCACATTAATTTCCTGTGCGTGTGTGTTACCTTCTAGGTTAATTCTTTTTGATCTAACCTTTTCTCTAGTTCCTGGTCCCCTTCTCCTATTGGCCTCAGTTGCTTTTAAGGTATCTGCTTTAGTTGCTCTGCGTTAAGGGTAACAAATGCTAGCTAATTTTTTAGGTGTCTTACCTATCCTCACCCCGCCCTTGTGAGCTCTAGCTTTTATCATGTGCTCAAAGTCCAATCCCCTTGTTGTGTTTGCCCTTGATCTAATGTCCACATATGAGGGAGAACATACGATTTTTGGTCTTTTGGGCCAGACTAACCTCATCAGAATGATGTTCTCCAATTCCATCCATTTACCAGCAAATGATAACATTTCGTTCTTCTTCATGGCTGCATAAAATTCCATTGTGTATAGATACCACATTTTCTTAATCCATTCATCAGTGGTGGGGCATCTTGGCTGTTTCCATAACTTAGCTATTGTGAATAGTGCCACAATAAACATGGGTGTATATAGCACATTTTCATGCGCTCATCCGTTGTGGGGCATCTGGGCTGCTTCCAAAGCTTGGCTGTTGTGAATAGTGCTGCAGTAAACACGGGTGTGCAAGTGGCTCTGTCATATGCTGGAGCACATTCTTTTGGATATACACCTAGGAGTGGTTTTGCAAAATCCTACAGTAGTTGTATCTTTAGCTTTTTGAGGGGTTTCCGTATTTCTTTCCATAGTGGTGGCACTAATTTACATTCCCACCCATCTATATAGGAACATAATATAATGTACCATACAGTAAACTGTTGGATATTAGGGGAACATGGTGATAGAGAATGAGAAAATAATGGAGGGGAGGGGTTAATTTGATAAAAGTATGATATATATGGACTTGAAGCGAAACCCCCTTCAATTATCAATATAGACTTAATTAAAAAAAATGGAGGGCAGGAGGGAAAAATAGATTTAAGGGGTGAGTACCTGTGGGAGGGGTGGGCACAAGGAAAGGGGGAATGAGGGTGAATATGGTGGGTGTGTTTTACATCCATATATGAAAACAGAAGATTGAAACCTGTTGAAATTGTTCTGAGAAGGGTAAAAGCTAGAATAATGGAGAGGGTAAATCCATCTAAGATAAATTGTAATCATAATGTTACAGTGTATCCCACTGTACGACTATTCTATGCTAATAAAATTATACAAAAAAGAAATGTATTTCTTATCATTGTAGAGGTTGGGAAGTCTAAGATGAAGCTAGTTGCTGATTCAGTTTCTAGTGAGGGTCCCACTTCTGGTTTGCAGAAAGATACCTTCTTGCAGTGTCTTCACATGGCAGAGTGAGGGAGAGATTTCTCTCTCCTGTCTTATAAGGCCATTAGTGCCAGTCCAAAGGCTCCACCATTATGACCTAATCACCTCCCAAATTTCCTACTTACCACACTGTCACACTGGGGATTAGGCTTCCACACATAAGGTTTTGGAGGACACAAACATTCAGTCCATAGCACATCCCCAAAACATGCTCATGGATTGAAAACTTTAGCATCCTTAAGATGGCAGTACTCCCCAATTGTTCTTCAGATTCGGTGCAGTTCCTATCAGAATCTCAGCTGAGTTTTCTGTAGAAATTGGTGCAGTGATTCTATAAGGCATATGGCATTACATGGGACCCATAACCCCCCCCCCAAAAAAAAAAACAATTGGAAAAGAAGAACGAAATTGAGGGATCTTATGTGGCTGAACAAGGAGCCATGAACTAAAGCCTCTCTACTGAGTCTTCTCCCACCCACCCCCAAAAATGCTTATTACATGGTGTGTTTGAGAGTACCAAGGGTCTCTCATGACTGACTTCTCTTATCACCACAGGTGGTCTGGAAGTAGAGATGGCTGGGAGGAGGCAGACGGTATCCCTCAATAAAAATATCACCATCATCTGCAAAGTGCCTGGAGCTCCAAACTTGGACATCAGGACTATGGGTATCAGATGGTTTTGGAAGAATCAGACATCTGATCTGGAGAAAGTGTTTGAGTTTATCGGAGATCACCAAGAGGCAATCCGACCTGGAGCCACTGTGTCTCTATGGAGGCTGAAGAGGGGTGATGCCTCACTACAGCTGCCTGCCATCCAGCTGAGGGAAGCGGGAGAATACCGATGCGTGGTGGTGGTCACCCACAGAAGGCGGAGGGCAGGGTCTGGCTAGAAGTTATAGGTGAGTGCCTGAGGGCAGAGCCCGCAGCTCCCATGGAACTGGGACTTGGCTGTGGAGCTGTGGCTGGGCCGAGTGGAGCAGAGGGTTAGAGCGTGGTTCCAGGAGTCGGACAGATGTGGGCTGAAGTCCTGGGCTTCTATAAACAGTTGGACAACCTGGAGCAAGTTACTAGTCACTCTGGACTTCAATGTCCTTTCCTCAAATAAAGGTAAGATTGTCGACCTAAGAGAACTGTAGGGAATTCTATGGAGAATGGAGGTGAAAAGCTTAGTGTAGCACTCAGTCCAGTGTAAGTGCTCAGTAAGTCACAGCCATGGTAATTATATACCTCTGTCATTGTGTGGACTGTCTGCACTGAAGAGGTATTTCTGAAAGGTAGTTGGGAAAGGTGAGAGGTGTGAGCTGTGGCTTTTCACAGATCAGAATCCTATTCCAGTTTTGAAACTTCTAAACTGACTGACTGGGCCATTCATTTAGTATTTTTGGACCCAGATTTCTCATGGAGAAAATGAAGCGATAACTCATATCTTCCTCATGATGAGATAACGTGTGAAAACGCCCAGCAAAGTGCTTAGGGTGAAGCAGGTAGATTCCTAGTAAGAATTACTATAGCCCGAAATGCACTTTTTGGGGGGATTGGAGAGACTCGATGTGTAGCCCAGGCTCATCTCATGATGCTCCTGCCTAGCCTCCCAAGTGCTGGGATTACAGACATGTGCCATGAGCTGCCCACCTCCAAACACCTCTCTGAGCATCTCTTTCCTCTATTATAAAGTGATCTGCTTGTTTTGAAATCAGTTTGGTGGGTGTATTAGTTTGCTAGGATTGCCCTGACAAAATACCACACTGACTGGTGGCTTACATAACAGCTGGGGTTTTTTTCACACTACTGGAAGCTAAAGTCTGAGATCAATGTGTCAGCAGGGTTGGTGTCTTCTTGGAGGTCTGTCCTCTGGCCCACTCCTCTCTGTGTCTTCTCATGGTCTTTCCTCTGTGTCTGTGTCATAATTTCCTCCTCTTATAAGGACACCAGTTATAATAAATTAGGCTCCACCTTAATGGCCTCTTTTTAACATCGTTACTTCTTTAAATAACCTATTTGCAAATATATTCACCTTTATAGATACTAGGAACTTTGGGAGGGGACACATGAAATTTAATGAGACACAGATCAGCTCTTAACAGAGGAGCAAGCATCTATGAACTCTGTGTAGCCCAGCATGGCCTAAAACTCATGATCTCCGCCTCTACCTCCAAGTGTTGGAATTACAGGTGTATGCCAGCACACCCAGCACTGCCCTGTATTTCTGGCATGTGAAAACACTCTGACTTGTGAATATACACATGATAAGAATGAAAATGCTGAGACATCTGGCAGAGTGTGGTGCTTAGTGCTCTCACAGAGACAATGACACAAACCACACAGACTCCAGCAGCATTAATGAGGTGCTCACTTTCCCTCACTTAGTTCCCAAGCATGGAATGTTAAATTGGTGGCTCCCCAGCTGGGCCTGCACCTTGAGCTACACCACTAGCCCTTTTTTGTGATGGGTCTTTTTGAAATAGGGTCTTGTGAATTAGTTGCCTGGGGTGGCTTTGAATGGCTAGCCTCCTGAACTCTGCCTCCAAGGTGGTAGACTATAAGGGTGAGCCACTGGCATCCGGCAGAGTCTCCATCTTTAAAGAGTAGACTTCTATGTTGTCTGTGGTCTAACTACAGTAACAGTGATGTAGAGGTGTGTAGGTATCACAGAATCCCATTAGTGTAAGGTGTGGGGGTAGAAAAGTGGAGTGGGTGTTGGAACCAACTCTATGACTTCTCTTCCCTGGCAGCTTCTCCAGACAGTAAATTGTTTTGGGAACAACCCACAGTGAACAATAAGGAAGAAAAACATGCTGTGTGTAAGTCAAGTGGATTCTATCCACCAAACATCAGCATAAGGTGGAAGAAGTGGATCCAGAAGTCTGCCCAGTACCAAGAGATTTCTGAGAACATATTCACAGAGCGCCCTGTCAAGAATGAGGATGGCACCTTTAACATTACCAGCTATCTGAAGTTGAAGCTTCCTGTGGAAGACACGGGGGCCACCTACCAGTGTGTGATATGGCACAAATCCTGGCCCACCTCCCAGAAGCTCAACTTAACACTGCCCAGGTGGGGTGAGAATCTTCCTGCACGTTTTCAACTTGAGGGCTTGTGTATACCTTAATCTTTGGTTTTCATGAAGTGCAGGGCCTTTGCTAGGGGCTCATGGGGAAGGACAGGAAGTATGTGTGACGGGGGACAAGCTGGGGTCTGGCCTGGTCAGAATCAGCAGTCCAGGCTTGGGCCCTAGACCAGGGTAGATGGCCTGGTAGGTGCAGAGGGTGACAGTAGTAGTGAGGTGGAAAGAGGGCTACTTGTCAGTTCATGGAAGCTTCAGGATTCTGAATGGTCCTTGTAGCTTGCCTAAGTGACAAGCTTGCCAGCCACTAGAGGATTAGGGACAGGATCCTACCCATGTCCTCAGAGATAACGTGTGAAAACGCCCAGCAAAGTGCTTGATGTGAGGCAGGTAGATTCCTACTAAGAATTACTATAGCCCAAAATGCACTCTTTGGGGTGATTGGGGGGACTCGATGTGTAGCCCAGGCTCATCTCATGATGCTCCTGCCTAGCCTCCCAAGTGCTGGGATTACAGACATGTGCCATGAGCTGCCCACCTCCAAACACCTCTCTGAGCATCTCTTTCCTCTATTATAAAGTGATCTGCTTGTTTTGAAATCAGTTTGGTGGGTGTATTAGTTTGCTAGGATTGCCATGATAAAATACCACACTGACTGGTGGCTTACGTAACAGCTGGGGTTTTTTTCACACTACTGGAAGCTAAAGTCTGAGATCAATGTGTCAGCAGGGTTGGTGTCTTCTTGGAGGTCTGTCCTCTGGCCCACTCCTCTCTGTGTCTTCTCGTGGTCTTTCCTCTGTGTCTGTGTCATAATTTCCTCCTCTTATAAGGACACCAGTTATAATAAATTAGGCTCCACCTTAATGGCCTCTTTTTAACATCGTTACTTCTTTAAATAACCTATTTGCAAATATATTCACCTTTATAGATACTAGGAACTTTGGGAGGGGACACATGAAATTTAATGAGACACAGATCAGCTCTTAACAGAGGAGCAAGCATCTATGAACTCTGTGTAGCCCAGCATGGCCTAAAACTCATGATCTCCGGCCTCTACCTCCCAAGTGTTGGAATTACAGGTGTATGCCAGCACACCCAGCACTGCCCTGTATTTCTGGCATGTGAAAACACTCTGACTTGTGAATATACACATGATAAGAATGAAAATGCTGAGACATCTGGCAGAGTGTGGTGCTTAGTGCTCTCACAGAGACAATGACACAAACCACACAGACTCCAGCAGCATTAATGAGGTGCTCACTTTCCCTCACTTAGTTCCCAAGCATGGAATGTTAAATTGGTGGCTCCCCAGCTGGGCCTGCACCTTGAGCTACACCACTAGCCCTTTTTTGTGATGGGTCTTTTTGAAATAGGGTCTTGTGAATTAGTTGCCTGGGGTGGCTTTGAATGGCTAGCCTCCTGAACTCTGCCTCCAAGGTGGTAGACTATAAGGGTGAGCCACTGGCATCCGGCAGAGTCTCCATCTTTAAAGAGTAGACTTCTATGTTGTCTGTGGTCTAACTACAGTAACAGTGATGTACAGGTGTGTAGGTATCACAGAATCCCATTAGTGTAAGGTGTGGGGGTAGAAAAGTGGAGTGGGTGTTGGAACCAACTCTATGACTTCTCTTCCCTGGCAGCTTCTCCAGACAGTAAATTGTTTTGGGAACAACCCACAGTGAACAATAAGGAAGAAATACATGCTGTGTGTAAGTCAAGTGGATTCTATCCACCAAACATCAGCATAAGGTGGAAGAAGTGGATCCAGAAGTCTGCCCAGTACCAAGAGATTTCTGAGAACATATTCACGGAGCGCCCTGTCAAGAATGAGGATGGCACCTTTAACATTACCAGCTATCTGAAGTTGAAGCTTCCTGTGGAAGACACGGGGGCCACCTACCAGTGTGTGATATGGCACAAATCCTGGCCCACATCCCAGAAGCTCAACTTAACACTGCCCAGGGGGGTGAGAATCTTCCTGCACGTTTTCAACTTGAGGGCTTGTGTATACCTTAATCTTTGGTTTTCATGAAGTGCAGGGCCTTTGCTAGGGGCTCATGGGGAAGGACAGGGAGTATGTGTGAGGGGGACAAGCTGGGGTCTGGCCTGGGTCAGAATCAGCAGTCCAGGCTTGGGCCCTAGACCAGGGCAGATGGCCTGGTAGGTGCAGAGGGTGACAGTAGTAGTGAGGTGGAAAGAGGGCTACTTGTCAGTTCATGGAAGCTTCAGGATTCTGAATGGTCCTTGTAGCTTGCCTAAGTGAGAAGCTTGCCAGCCACTAGAGGATTAGGGACAGGATCCTACCCATGTCCTCAGAGATAACGTGTGAAAACACCCAGCAAAGTGCTTGATGTGAGGCAGGTAGATTCCTACTAAGAATTACTATAGCCCAAATGCACTTTTTGGGGGGATTGGGGGGACTCGATGTGTAGCCCAGGCTCATCTCATGATGCTCCTGCCTAGCCTCCCAAGTGCTGGGATTACAGACATGTGCCATGAGCTGCCCACCTCCAAACACCTCTCTGAGCCTCTCTTTCCTCTATTATAAAGTGATCTGCTTGTTTTGAAATCAGTTTGGTGGGTGTATTAGTTTGCTAGGATTGCCATGACAAAATACCACACTGACTGGTGGCTTACGTAACAGCTGGGGTTTTTTTCACACTACTGGAAGCTAAAGTCTGAGATCAATGTGTCAGCAGGGTTGGTGTCTTCTTGGAGGCCTGTCCTCTGGCCCACTCCTCTCTGTGTCTTCTCGTGGTCTTTCCTCTGTGTCTGTGTCATAATTTCCTCCTCTTATAAGGACACCAGTTATAATAAATTAGGCTCCACCTTAATGGCCTCTTTTTAACATCGTTACTTCTTTAAATAACCTATTTGCAAATATATTCACCTTTATAGATACTAGGAACTTTGGGAGGGGACACATGAAATTTAATGAGACACAGATCAGCTCTTAACAGAGGAGCAAGCATCTATGAACTCTGTGTAGCCCAGCATGGCCTAAAACTCATGATCTCCGGCCTCTACCTCCCAAGTGTTGGAATTACAGGTGTATGCCAGCACACCCAGCACTGCCCTGTATTTCTGGCTTGTGAAAACACTCTGACTTGTGAATATACACATGATAAGAATGAAAATGCTGAGACATCTGGCAGAGTGTGGTGCTTAGTGCTCTCACAGAGACAATGACACAAACCACACAGACTCCAGCAGCATTAATGAGGTGCTCACTTTCCCTCACTTAGTTCCCAGCATGGAATGTTAAATTGGTGGCTCCCCAGCTGGGCCTGCACCTTGAGCTACACCACTAGCCCTTTTTTGTGATGGGTCTTTTTGAAATAGGGTCTTGTGAATTAGTTGCCTGGGGTGGCTTTGAATGGCTAGCCTCCTGAACTCTGCCTCCAAGGTGGTAGACTATAAGGGTGAGCCACTGGCATCCGGCAGAGTCTCCATCTTTAAAGAGTAGACTTCTATGTTGTCTGTGGTCTAACTACAGTAACAGTGATGTACAGGTGTGTAGGTATCACAGAATCCCATTAGTGTAAGGTGTGGGGGTAGAAAAGTGGAGTGGGTGTTGGAACCAACTCTATGACTTCTCTTCCCTGGCAGCTTCTCCAGACAGTAAATTGTTTTGGGAACAACCCACAGTGAACAATAAGGAAGAAATACATGCTGTGTGTAAGTCAAGTGGATTCTATCCACCAAACATCAGCATAAGGTGGAAGAAGTGGATCCAGAAGTCTGCCCAGTACCAAGAGATTTCTGAGAACATATTCACGGAGCGCCCTGTCAAGAATGAGGATGGCACCTTTAACATTACCAGCTATCTGAAGTTGAAGCTTCCTGTGGAAGACACGGGGGCCACCTACCAGTGTGTGATATGGCACAAATCCTGGCCCACCTCCCAGAAGCTCAACTTAACACTGCCCAGGGGCGGTGAGAATCTTCCTGCACGTTTTCAACTTGAGGGCTTGTGTATACCTTAATCTTTGGTTTTCATGAAGTGCAGGGCCTTTGCTAGGGGCTCATGGGGAAGGACAGGGTATGTGTGAGGGGACAAGCTGGGGTCTGGCCTGGGTCAGAATCAGCAGTCCAGGCTTGGGCCCTAGACCAGGGCAGATGGCCTGGTAGGTGCAGAGGGTGACAGTAGTAGTGAGGTGGAAAGAGGGCTACTTGTCAGTTCATGGAAGCTTCAGGATTCTGAATGGTCCTTGTAGCTTGCCTAAGTGACAAGCTTGCCAGCCACTAGAGGATTAGGGACAGGATCCTACCCATGTCCTCAGAGATAACGTGTGAAAACACCCAGCAAAGTGCTTGATGTGAGGCAGGTAGATTCCTAAGAATTACTATAGCCCAAATGCACTTTTTGGGGGGATTGGGGACTCGATGTGTAGCCCAGGCTCATCTCATGATGCTCCTGCCTAGCCTCCCAAGTGCTGGGATTACAGACATGTGCCATGAGCTGCCCACCTCCAAACACCTCTCTGAGCATCTCTTTCCTCTATTATAAAGTGATCTGCTTGTTTTGAAATCAGTTTGGTGGGTGTATTAGTTTGCTAGGATTGCCCTGACAAAATACCACACTGACTGGTGGCTTACATAACAGCTGGGGTTTTTTTCACACTACTGGAAGCTAAAGTCTGAGATCAATGTGTCAGCAGGGTTGGTGTCTTCTTGGAGGCTGTCCTCTGGCCCACTCCTCTCTGTGTCTTCTTGTGGTCTTTCCTCTGTGTCTGTGTCATAATTTCCTCCTCTTATAAGGACACCAGTTATAATAAATTAGGCTCCACCTTAATGGCCTCTTTTTAACATCGTTACTTCTTTAAATAACCTATTTGCAAATATATTCACCTTATAGATACTAGGAACTTTGGGAGGGGACACATGAAATTTAATGAGACACAGATCAGCTCTTAACAGAGGAGCAAGCATCTATGAACTCTGTGTAGCCCAGCATGGCCTAAAACTCATGATCTCCGGCCTCTACCTCCCAAGTGTTGGAATTACAGGTGTATGCCAGCACACCCAGCACTGCCTGTATTTCTGGCATGTGAAAACACTCTGACTTGTGAATATACACATGATAAGAATGAAAATGCTGAGACATCTGGCAGAGTGTGGTGCTTAGTGCTCTCACAGAGACAATGACACAAACCACACAGACTCCAGCAGCATTAATGAGGTGCTCACTTTCCCTCACTTAGTTCCCTAGCATGGAATGTTAAATTGGTGGCTCCCCAGCTGGGCCTGCACCTTGAGCTACACCACTAGCCCTTTTTTGTGATGGGTCTTTTTGAAATAGGGTCTTGTGAATTAGTTGCCTGGGGTGGCTTTGAATGGCTAGCCTCCTGAACTCTGCCTCCAAGGTGGTAGACTATAAGGGTGAGCCACTGGCATCTGGCAGAGTCTCCATCTTTAAAGAGTAGACTTCTATGTTGTCTGTGGTCTAACTACAGTAACAGTGATGTAGAGGTGTGTAGGTATCACAGAATCCCATTAGTGTAAGGTGTGGGGGTAGAAAAGTGGAGTGGGTGTTGGAACCAACTCTATGACTTCTCTTCCCTGGCAGCTTCTCCAGACAGTAAATTGTTTTGGGAACAACCCACAGTGAACAATAAGGAAGAAATACATGCTGTGTGTAAGTCAAGTGGATTCTATCCACCAAACATCAGCATAAGGTGGAAGAAGTGGATCCAGAAGTCTGCCCAGTACCAAGAGATTTCTGAGAACATATTCACGGAGCGCCCTGTCAAGAATGAGGATGGCACCTTTAACATTACCAGCTATCTGAAGTTGAAGCTTCCTGTGGAAGACACGGGGGCCACCTACCAGTGTGTGATATGGCACAAATCCTGGCCCACCTCCCAGAAGCTCAACTTAACACTGCCCAGGGGCGGTGAGAATCTTCCTGCACGTTTTCAACTTGAGGGCTTGTGTATACCTTAATCTTTGGTTTTCATGAAGTGCAGGGCCTTTGCTAGGGGCTCATGGGGAAGGACAGGGAGTATGTGTGAGGGGGACAAGCTGGGGTCTGGCCTGGGTCAGAATCAGCAGTCCAGGCTTGGGCCCTAGACCAGGGCAGATGGCCTGGTAGGTGCAGAGGGTGACAGTAGTAGTGAGGTGGAAAGAGGGCTACTTGTCAGTTCATGGAAGCTTCAGGATTCTGAATGGTCCTTGTAGCTTGCCTAAGTGAGAAGCTTGCCAGCCACTAGAGGATTAGGGACAGGATCCTACCCATGTCCTCAGAGATAACGTGTGAAAACACCCAGCAAAGTGCTTGATGTGAGGCAGGTAGATTCCTACTAAGAATTACTATAGCCTGAAATGCACTTTTTGGGGGGATTGGGGGGACTCGATGTGTAGCCCAGGCTCATCTCATGATGCTCCTGCCTAGCCTCCCAAGTGCTGGGATTACAGACATGTGCCATGAGCTGCCCACCTCCAAACACCTCTCTGAGCCTCTCTTTCCTCTATTATAAAGTGATCTGCTTGTTTTGAAATCAGTTTGGTGGGTGTATTAGTTTGCTAGGATTGCCATGACAAAATACCACACTGACTGGTGGCTTACGTAACAGCTGGGGTTTTTTTCACACTACTGGAAGCTAAAGTCTGAGATCAATGTGTCAGCAGGGTTGGTGTCTTCTTGGAGGTCTGTCCTCTGGCCCACTCCTCTCTGTGTCTTCTCGTGGTCTTTCCTCTGTGTCTGTGTCATAATTTCCTCCTCTTATAAGGACACCAGTTATAATAAATTAGGCTCCACCTTAATGGCCTCTTTTTAACATCGTTACTTCTTTAAATAACCTATTTGCAACTATATTCACCTTATAGATACTAGGAACTTTGGGAGGGGACACATGAAATTTAATGAGACACAGATCAGCTCATAACAGGGGAGCAAGCATCTATGAACTCT